CTAATGAGAGATATCATACAAAAATCTTTGTAATCCGCTAAGAGACGTCCTTTTATTGGATTGTCGCTGGTCGTAGTCGGAGAAATCTCGGCTAAGGGAATTAACTCTTACCCCGGATATTATGTAATATTGTTTACGTGGTTACCAGAATGGTCAGTCGTGAATGTCTGCGCATCTATTGCGCATCTGCAGCGGTACAGGGAGGTTAACAGCAGGGTGTCGGGGTGTATCAGTTACATGCCAGACCGTAGCGCTGATGGTTAGTGATAAACTGTTGGTGAGGGCCGTCCCTCTATTATATGGTCTCTGATGTGACTATAGAACAGGACCAGTACATGTGACTATAGAGCAGGATCAGTACATTTGACTATAGAGCAGGATCAGTACATGTGACTATAGAACAGGATCAGTACATGTGACTATAGAGCAGGATCAGTACATTTGACTATAGAACAGGATCAGTACATGTGACTATAGAGCAGGATCAGTACATGTGACTATAGAGCAGGAACAGTACATGTGACTATAGAGCAGGATCAGTACATGTGACTATAGAACAGGACCAGTACATGTGACTATAGAGCAGGATCAGTACATTTGACTATAGAACAGGATCAGTACATGTGACTATAGAGCAGGATCAGTACATGTGACTATAGAGCAGGATCAGTACATGTGACTATAGAACAGGATCAGTAAATGTGACTATAGAGCAGGATCAGTACATGTGACTATAGAACAGGATCAGTACATGTGACTATAGAACAGGACCAGTACATGTGACTATAGAACAGGATCAGTACATGTGACTATAGAACAGGATCAGTACATGTGACTATAGAACAGGATCAGTACATGTGACTATAGAACAGGATCAGTACATGTGACTATAGAACAGGATCAGTACATGTGACTAAAGAGCAGGATCAGTACATGTGACTATAGAGCAGGATCAGTACATGTGACTATAGAGCAGGATCAGTACATGTGACTATAGAACAGGATCAGTACATGTGACTATAGAACATGACCAGTACATGTGACTATAGAGCAGGATCAGTACATGTGACTATAGAACAGGATCAGTACATGTGACTAAAGAGCAGGATCAGTACATGTGACTATAGAACAGGATCAGTACATGTGACTATAGAGCAGGATCAGTACATGTGACTATAGAACAGGATCAGTACATGTGACTATAGAACAGGATCAGTACATGTGAATATAGAACAGGATCAGTACATGTGACTATAGAGCAGGATCAGTACATGTGACTATAGAACAGGATCAGTACATGTGACTATAGAATAGGATCAGTACATGTGACTATAGAACAGGATCAGTACATGTGACTATAGAACAGGATCAGTACATGTGACTATAGAACAGGATCAGTACATGTGACTATAGAACAGGATCAGCACATGTGACTATAGAGCAGGATCAGTACATGTGACTATAGAACAGGATCAGTACATGTGACTATAGAGCAGGATCAGTACATGTGACTATAGAACAGGATCAGTACATGTGACTATAGAACAGGATCAGTACATGTGACTATAGAGCAGGATCAGTACATGTGACTATAGAGCAGGATCAGTACATGTGACTATAGAGCAGGATCAGTACATGTGACTATAGAGCAGGATCAGTGCATATGACTATAGAGCAGGATCATATTTTAATTCTCTGATCGATAATGCTAAAAACCAAAAGGACATCTTCAGGATAACAAATCGACTTTTGTACAAAGGAAAACCACATGTGTTACCAGATGATGACACAACTGATGAAGAAAAAGCTGAAAACTTCTCCAGATTCTTCTCAGAAAAGATTTGTCTTATCAGAAAGAACATTGCAGACCTTCCTTCAAAACCTGTACAACCCAATCCAACGGATACATTATATCAAATGTCCACAGATCAATTACATCATTTTCATCTGACAACAGAGACAGAGATCAAACGAGTCATCCGTGACAGTCCAGCGAAATCGTGCTCCCTGGATCCACTTCCAACTTGGCTGCTAAAAGAGTGCCTTGACGAGTTCACTCCTGTCGTTACTCGCATTGTGAATAAATCACTCGAGGAATCCTGCGTTCCAGATGATCTAAAGTATGCTCTTGTCACACCTTTGATAAAAAAACCTCAGTTGGATGCAAATGACCTGAAAAATTACCGTCCAGTCTCCAACCTCTCATTTATATCTAAAGTGATTGAACGCATTGTTGTGAAGAGGCTGACGGCTACCCGACCGCCCCTTGTAGAAAAGGAAATGTGGGGAATTCAACTCCTGAGTTCACTGAAGTGTTTTCTCCTGAAAATAACACCTTGCATTCCTGAAAAAACAATGTGTGCGATTACTGACAGACCACTCAAATATAGTAGAGGTGTAGTGATCACCTGTAGATAACTGACAGGTCAGTCTATGATCAAATCAAAAGACAGTCCAAGTTTTTGACTACAATAAGTAGAGTCTTGGTAAGTAGTTTAATAACATAATATTGTCTGTTAAAGCCTTTTGTTTACTGTAGATGGAATTTTGTATAATTTATTATTTTAGCGATTGTTGCTCATAGTTAGGTAGTTGGTTCATAGCCAGAAAAGTTGGTAAATAGCAAAGGTGTCATGGGTCACATGACTGATATTACTTGACTGGTAGTTTTATGCTGTTGTTAGTTAATGTTCAGTGTCCGGACAAACATTACAAGTTGTAGGCCGGTCTCGAGGGGGACATGGGTTGATGTACCCCCTATGTTAATTTATATTCCGTGAAGGGATCGATCGGTGGACACCAAATTTATCTTATTGCAAACCTAATTATATTGCAGGTATAACATATGCATTCATGCTTTGGTCCAAATCGGTATACCATAGTTTGGCATTAATATCCACTTAGCAGATGACAGACTTAGAGTCTTTGATCTAGTTCATTCTAAAAATATTGTAAATATCTGGAGAATGGCTTCCTTCTTCATTTATTCGAGATACAAAATTATCAGTAGGTATGTTGCGAATGTCATGCCAACAGTTGGGCAATTCCAGCAGGGAACATAAGAAAAGTACCTTACATGTTGGCGCGACAGATTGAAATAATAGAATGAGTCTGAGCCATTCAGAATCCCACATTTGTATGTAAAGTAAGATAAGAAGTTATCTATCACAGGTGTGTGAATCATGTTCAGAGAATGATGATCATTACTTCAACACATATTGATGTACTTGACACAATTCAAAGTCAATTGTGTTCATGATGTGAAGACAGATTATATTTGATAGCAAGCCATACTGGTGAGTGTCAAGGAGGTTACCAGTCAGTTGTAGATCCAAGTCTGGTTAGATAGATTGGGGGCCATTGTGCAAAGTGATCTCATTTCTGAACTTTTCATTCAACATAAAAATGTAAATTAAGCACCTAACAAGGGTCTCTTTAAAAACGATTAATGAATGTTTCACTCTTCCGCCTTATCCTAAAACTCCTGCTTAGATATGGCTGAGTGAACATGGTGTTGACAGCACATCACAAGGGGAACAAGATTAGAGAACATCACTTCCTTGCTTAACTGGCCAGATATTACTGCCGCAGATAACAAGATTCATTGTTTGTCTTGACTGAGTCTTATGTGTCCTACACTTTTGTCGAACAACAGTTAACAAAAACAACTCTCAACCCAGGATAGAATGGAGCTGTTACCAAGTTTAGTGAATGAATAGTTACACAGTAACTAGAGAGGTCTGACTACAGGTGATGGTTGGTAAAGAATAGAGAATAGTTAGACAGTAACTAGAGGTGAGTGGGTGAGTTGGGTTTAACGCCGCTTTTAACAGTATTCCAGTTATATCACGGCATGTCAGCTTAATGTGGGAGCAAAGCCCGAAGTGATGCGGGTCTCAGACGTTTACCACTTCGGTGAAACCGAAACCTAGAAACATAATTCATAACCGGGATTCGAACCCACAATCATAGGTTTCTGGCGTGCCCAAGGGATGCACAGTGAATCGCGGCGCCTTCGACGACTGGGCCACCCATGCCCCCAACTAGAGAGGTCTGACTACAGGTGATGGTTGGTTGGTAAAGTATAGTTTTAAAGTAGAGTATTAGTTGGTATCCAGTGATAATGACAAATGATATCTTACTACAGGTGATGTTTGGTATTTTATAGTCAGTAGTTGGTTTGTAACATGTGCTGTTTGACTATCTACATTTGCATGGTGTGTAATTAACCAACAATCTACCAAGCATATCTACATATGACATGTACAATGTCAGTCACTGATCATCTATCAAACACTCGAGTCGATTTACAGAAATCTGTAATGTAATGTCAAAGAGAAAATTAATAAACATTAAATATGAAAACTGTTAATTTTCATACAAGTATGAAAGTTGAAAAGATATTAGATCTTGGCCATTACATGTTAGCTTCAGTCAATGATAGGATTTGTGCTTCCACTGACTGTTGGTAGTTGGTTAAGGCCATGATTCCGTGTCTCTTCACTGGTGATAGCTGATGTCAAGATACACCTACCTATTAATACATATCACTTGAGTGACGATATGATTATCACAATACTACTTTTTGTGTGAACTATTCCATGTTCCATGTGGCCGCGCTTGCAAGAAGCTGCAACTGTCAGACCAGAGTTGTGTTAGCCCTCACTCAGTCACAATAGTGTTTAAGTACGAGGGTTACAGCCACTTTCAGGTGTTTCATAATCACTAATACTTCATGATTATCAAGTAGGCGTTGTGTTTGTCAGCAAATGTGAATGTGATACAAGCTGCAAATGTCACATGACATATCTGTATCCAACACCGTCATGTTGGATGACATTCACACCCAAATACCAGTGTCTGCCCAGTACTGACAGCTGTTGACATTCACTCCCAAATACCAATGTCTGCCCACTACTGACAGATCTTCCTTCCTGCCCTCCCACCAGTGTCCATCTCCTCTAACCACCTACAGTGTCCATCTCATCTACCATCTATAGTGTCCATCTCCTCTAACCACCTACAGTGTCCCATCTCCTCTACACACCTACAGTGTCCATCTCCTCTACCCACCTACAGTGTCCATCTCCTTTACCACCTACAGTGTCCCATCTCCTCTACCACCTACAGTGTCCATCTCCTCTACCACCTACAGTGTCCATCTCCTCTACCCACCTACAGTGTCCCATCTCCTCTACCCACCTACAGTGTCCCATCTCCTCTACCCACCTACAATGTCCATCTCCTCTACCCACCTACAGTGTCCATTTCCTCTACCACCTACAGTGTCCCATCTCCTCTACCCACCTACAGTGTCCATCTCCTCTACCACCTACAGTGTCCATCTCCTCTACCACCTACAGTGTCCATCTCCTCTACCACCTACAGTGTCCATCTCCTCTACCCACCTACAGTGTCCATCTCCTCTACCCACCTACAGTGTCCATCTCCTCTACCATCTACAATGTCCCATCTCCTCTACCCACCTACAGTGTCCATCTCCTCTACCACCTACAGTGTCCATCTCCTCTACCATCTACAATGTCCCATCTCCTCTACCATCTACAATGTCCATCTCCTCTACCACCTACAGTGTCCATCTCCTCTACCCACCTACAGTGTCCATCTCCTCTACCATCTACAATGTCCCATCTCCTCTACCACCTACAGTGTCCATCTCCTCTACCATCTACAGTGTCCATCTCCTCTACCACCTACAGTGTCCCATCTCCTCTACCCACCTACAGTGTCCATCTCCTCTACCCACCTACAGTGTCCCATCTCCTCTACCACCTACAGTGTCCATCTCCTCTACCACCTACAGTGTCCCATCTCCTCTACCATCTACAGTGTCCATCTCCTCTACCACCTACAGTGTCCATCTCCTCTACCACCTACAATGTCCATCTCCTCTACCACCTACAGTGTCCATCTCCTCTACCACCTACAGTGTCCATCTCCTCTACCACCTACAATGTCCATCTCCTCTACCACCTACTAACATGGTATTCGTGTGTGCATGCTAACAGGTGCCATGACAACATTTTTGAATTATTCAAAAGTAAAACCTTACTTCATTGTACATGTACAGAAAGATTTTATGAACATCTTTTGACAACATTCTGTACTGTGGCATCAAGTAATCAAATATGACATGTGTCATGGGAGTTATAAAAAAGCAAGTTAGTGTACGGTAAGTCATTCTACAATGGCAGAAGCACGTGTGCAATTTGTTCCCAATTCCTGGGGTGGCTAGAGTTTAGTATTCAATGGATATAAGTTTAGAAAGAAGTCAAGAAGAAATCAAACTGTCAACTGGACATGGGCATGTCTGGTATTTCAGCTTTTGCTGATTACATCACCGAGTTTTGGGTTGAGGGAGGGGATAGGTTGATGTGGAACCACTTCTGCACCACTGGCCCCAGAACCACCAATCATGTGGAAGGGTGGCATTCCAAACTTAACAACATTGCTGCAAGCCACCCAAACATGTTCAAATGGATTAACATCATCAAATCAGAACAATGCTACAATGAAGTGACCATTCTTCAGCTGAAGGCCGGTGGTTCCCTGACACCAAAACGAAGAAAATATAGAAACCTGGAGGAAAGAATTGACATTCAAAAACATAGACTCGGTTCCATCACACCACTTGTTTATGGTGACGCTGTTTCTCATCTTGTGGGATTGTAAATTTGTGTATTATGTCATGTGTATTAATTCATATTCATGTATATTTAGTAAATTAAAAATTTAAAATGCGTTATATACAATAAAAACAAAATGTGATAAACTTTACTTTTTTCCCTTATTTGCCTGCATACTTGCATTTAAAATACAGACTATAGCCGTAATCCCCATTGTTCTAGGGATTTAGTACGGGCCACTAATTTTAATCCCGAAACAATACGTGTCGGCAAAAAGAGAACACCCCGTTCAGTAGATCTGGACAAGAACAGACCTTACATTTCAATGCTAATGGTCACAGCCAGCCCACAGCCCATAGCCATGATAACAATTAACCTATTTTCCATTGTCGATGGTCCAAGACATACATGATGTATGTGCTATGATAATACAGCTATTCTAACATTCCTGAAAAGTGCCATGGTCATTAGCAAATAAGTTTTGTCAGATTTGACTGTAGCATGTACTCACTGCATGTCTTGCAAAGAGGACTCCAAGTCAGCGTTCAACACCTATCTTGTCCTGACATCACACAGATAGATGCATGCATGAGGAAGGCATGATTAAAGAGATGCATGAAGAAGGAACAAGGAAAAATGACATATTCATAAAAATCTCACATGCTTTATTTGTCTCACAACTGACATTGCTGCATCGCAGTTCACGAATATTGTTGAAACTACAAATGAGGAGCAGGAAGTATAACTTATACTCTTTTGTCTGCCCATTAATAGGAAAACTATTCACAGGAAACAAGCAGGAAACAAGCAGGAAACAAGCCTTCACTCATCCAAATATACCAATATGTTGTTGTTGTTGAAATTCCTATATATAAGTCCACGACACAGTGATCATCAAGTCACAAGGACGTCACACTCTCTTGAGTCAAACACTGGATTAAGAAATACAAGCCTTTATCAGTTAACTTGATACTTAGTGACAGACAACAGTGTCAAGTATACAATCAGAATTACTGTACATGCTGAAGACACAAGCAAAAGTATATTCAAATGACTATTGATTTTAGTAAAAATATTATTAATGAATTTTTTTAGAGGCATTTAGAATTTGGAGAACTAAGTAAGGATAAGATATATGGATGAACGTCTTTATAACAATTAGGAGCGACGTTTTGGTGTTGGTTCTCACACCATTATCAAGCTAGTGCAAACGGGCAATGTACAGTGGAACCCTCCTTATCCGGACCTCAGATACCCGGAAACCTCCCCAACCAGATGATATTTACGTGAACGAAATATATACTACATAAAATGCTACTTTTATCTAGAAATCCACTTTCTGGATCCAGACAGTGATTTTCAATCACACAGAGTGCAAAATACACATTTTGTGCCAGACAGCAGTTACGCCTGACCATGTTTGTTTAGCAATTTATCATCTGGCACCCAACATCATCATTTACATATTCCCTGTTCTGCTTAGCATTGTTGCAGATGTAGGGAGTAAGATTACCATGTGTATTTCTCATCAACTAAGCTGGAAATAGCAATCAGCTGTACATGCATTTCTGCCAATCTACCCGTGATTCAGTTAAAAAATACCCAATCACATAACTTCAAAGAATTTTGGTGCAATGATTGGACGAAATTGTATCTTAAACTATTATTTTATCAGGAATAATAAATTCCAATATCGTGTTATTTTAGTTGCATTTACTATATATATTTGAAATAATAATAAAATAAGTGTAGCACTTTGGTACAGCTGATTGCTATTGCAAGAGATGTTTTACATATGGAACAGTTTGATCGGTCACCGTAGAGACTTCCTGCAGGCTTGCTATTTCGATCGTGAGAATGTTACGTTGACATATAATAGTTTAACTATAACACGCATGACTACTAAGGGAAAGTAAAGCTTTAATGGCATATGAACCCATTCTTAGACAACTAAAGTTAGTTTCAAGGGAATCTGATCATAATCTCAGTAAAAAGACAGAAAGTTGGTGCGATCTGCTGATTAGTGCACTAACGATTTAGCCAAAATTATTGAAAACAATATTGTTAACTATGAAAAAAAGAGACAAATTCATACTTCCAAAAACATGAAGCTTTTACCATTACTTCTTATGGTGTTCTTGATGATTAACTTAGCCAATGTCAAGATAACCTACTTTAACAATCCTTTAACATATTGGATTATTTAGTAACAGATAATGCTTTTACTAACAGTAATGATAAAAGCTCCATCCAGTGTTGAAATTTTAATTACCGGTAGCTCTGATAATGGTAACCCATTTATTTTCTTCAACCTGTTAACAATATTGTCAAACTATTATGCAAGGTTCAGCTAATAGAGACTGGCCAAGGAACATGTATACTGAACAAAAATAGTCATGGATATACAAATGTTCAGTATAATACAAAGTGGGGGATTTTCTGCTTGAATATACAAAATTTGCTTATTGTAAGATTAAGTTACCCATACTGATCTTCTACTTGGGTTTAATGCCACTTTTAACAGTATTCCAGTTATACCTCGGCATGTCAGCTTAATGTGGGAGGAAAGCCCGAGGCGATGCAGGTCTCAGACGTTAATCACTTCGGTGAAACCCATGAGCACGAGTATGGTGCTGACAAACCTAGAACCTGGATTCGAACCCACAATCATAGGTTTCAGGCGTGCCCAGGGGACGCAAGTCTGCACAGGGAATCGAGGCACCTTAGACGACTGGGCTACCCTGCCCCCTCTACTTGAGTGAGTGAGAAAAGGTTTTACACAATGCATATGTAAGATATTCATTCCAGGTATCAAACCATAAATAGTTACAAAGGACAGTTCATAATAATATGTACATGGTTTGTACCCAATGTCATACCACATACTAAGTCACAAAATAATCTCCTTCAGTGAGACTGTAATATCCTGGCATAACTGACTTGTAGGCCTGTATGAAACAGTAACCACACAGAGAACTGAATAAGGGTCTTCAGCTTGAGGTGAGGTGAAATTGGGTTTAACGTCGCGTCCAAGATTATTGCACTTATATAGCGACGTGCATGCACGTGTGTGTCTGTGGCTGCTTGTACTAGTCCGGACTGATGCCGATTTATAGTGCTAGCTCACTGAGATACCATGCCGCAGTTTAACATGAATACCCCACTCAGACACAGTATACTGACTCCGAGCCGACCAGTCCTTGTTTTAGCCCCTTAATGCCGAGCGCCAGACAGGGTAACAAGTCTTCAGCTTGATGAGTGAACGCTTGAACCTCTGTGCTACCCTACCGCCCCTCTTCCATTGACATACAGTGTTCCCGCTGGCTTTTGAAACTGCCAGTCCCGGTGGACTGGCAACTATAAAAATTACCAGTCCCCCTAATTTGTGTCAGTCCCAACTTTCAACAAATAGAAAAACATATAAAAATTACCTGGATTTCATTCTTTCAACATCATGTTCAATGCAATGATGTCATCTCTGAAGTAACTTAGATCTACAAGTCATTCACACAAAGTGAAGCTGACTTCGAAAAATATACCATATGAACATCGCCGATGTTTTGTTCAACAACAAAGATTTATGAGGTACTTTATTTGCCGGTTCACGGGGACTTGCAGAGACATGAATTACTGGTTCAAGCCTAATTTTACCGGTTAAAAACTGGTAATCACCGGTAAAGGGGAACACTGGTGAGATGATCATCCAATAACATGCCAACCCTATGTCAATATATTTATCTGTGACAACAAAGGTTCGTTTCAAGGCCCCAATAACGATTGTCTGGTCAGTGTTGCTGTAAATGGTGGTGAGTTGGTGCTGATAATCAGTTTCATCATGATTTTGCAGGAAGTAAACTTCTCCATATTGCATAAAATATTGTATAAATCAACTGCAAGTGACTCCATGGCATTTGATCGGCTAAGCAAGCATTTTTTTTCATGTTCGTGTTTTTATATACCGAAAAATAGTTTGGCCACACCCACTAGCTAACTACTGTTTCCTGATTGGCTGATGATAGGGTAACTGGGCTTGGATTTCGTTATTGCACCAAAAGATGTCACTGATTTTGTGTGGTTGTGTGCGTTTATTGTGCTAACCATTAAATCTGTGAAGATATTATTCTTGACTTATATATTTATAACAGTTGACTTCAATATGTTTTTACGGTTTTAGAGGTATAAACGTAAAAAACGGTGAACACACTTTGTGTAAATCCTGAAGGTCATGCAAGTGTATAACAATTCACACAGTGTACACACCGGGTTTACGTTTACAGAAATATGTGTGTTGAGATCAATTCTTAAATAATATGACTGTGGTAATGAGATGCATCATAAATACTGAAAGATGGTGTTCATCACTTTATTAAATCTCAGTA